GCTTGAAATTCAAAAACAACTTCCTAAAACGCCTAGGTGACAACACTGCTGTTTGGATGAGCTGTGACTAGATGAACTGATCAATCTCAGTTGGTTATATCCCTTTTTTTTTTCTTGGTAAGGGTTTTTAATTTGTAGAACAGTTGCATTTGTCTAGTCTTACGTGACGGCTTTATTCTAAATGTCTCCTGGGAGGCACAGACCAGATCCAGGACTCCATCTTCATCCTTTTCACTTTCATATACTTTGGAGATGGGCAGACACGCCCACCATGCTGTGTCCACTCACCAGGAGGAAGAAGACCTGATAAGCATCGAGCCATAGGTGCCTTCTAATTATCTTGATAAGTTCATTCCTGTTGACATGATCAAGTGCCAGGAACTTGGTTTTATCCAAGAGAGGAAGCTGCTTCTCACCCTTGTACCTTCTGTTACCACCAGTATTTTGGTGGGATGCTGCTTGAAGGTCTTCTCCAATGACATGGCACAGGAGCTGGGCCGTGGTGATGGGTGGAAGGTACCGACAGCCCCGGGGACAACAGCAGCTTTGACTCTTGCCTGGCACGTGCTTTCAGGCTCATATTTATGGGCTTAGTGCTCTCTCGAGACAGTGGAGTACAAAAATGCAGATGATCACCTTTCCCTGCCCTTCCGTCTAACCAGCCCCACGATCTGCAGGAGGGGCCAGGCAGTACCAATCTCACTTACATGAACATGCCAGATTTTAAAATGATGCGCTACACATAAAAAGTACCGATTGACTTGGGATCGCTGCACATTTGGCAAAAGCCATACCCACCAATGAATAGCTTGCTTCGCTCTTTCCAATCCTGTCAATAGAGTATACTTGGCCTATATTTAGACAAAGCCAGCGGTATTGTGTTCGCATCTCTGGCAGCTTACTCAGAGCAGGTTTTCTATGAATAAAATGTGTGCCCAGTTCAGTGGGTCTGGCTTCGCAGCCGAGAGATTGTGTATTGATTGGTGTGGGAAATGAGATACTTTGGTAATTGGTCCATGTCCAGACAAAAAAGTGCCTAATTGGACATCCGAGCTGATACAGAAAACCATAAGGGCCTGCCGTCCTTGTGGCAGGGGTGATTCACGCATTCTCTGCAGAGCTTGCCTTGGAATACGGTTGCACGGCTGTCACCGAGCATCTCTGGCACTTGCCCCGTCTCACAGACCTGGGCAGGATATGCTGTCTGCCTTGATAGGTTAAGGCTTTTACTCTGTGAGCCAGGTCCTTTCTCTCAGCACGCACTGTCCTGCACACCCCATGTCTCGGCTGATGGCACGATCACCACAACCAAACTAGAGACCTGGGATTTAGCCTCTGCTCCTGTCTCCTCCCCATGCCTGGGCTCCACATCCTACGGACTGTCCCTCCTGAATGTCCCCCATCTTGTCCGCATCCCCACCATCAGTGAGTTGCACCAGCCTCTGAAGCACCACTCACAGCTTGCAACCTCCTCATCGTCCCCAGACATCCATCAGAGTGTTTTCTCAAACTAGGTCTGATGTGGTTACTTAGCTCCTTAAAACTGTCCTGTGGCTTTCCGTTGCCTACAGACCTAAAGGCCCTCAGTGCCCTTTGGACCCAGGCCCCCACCTTTCCCCTCATTCTCACACAATATTGAACCATTTAGTTGTTGTTGTTTTAAGAATTATTTTAACTTTATTTATTTATGTATGTTTATTTTAATTTGACCAGAGTGAGGGAGAGAGAAAGCGAGCCACCAGGTCTGGGACTTGAACAGTGGTTGGCCATGTGGGAGTCCAGCACCCTTAACCACCATGCCACCTGCTGGCTCCTATAGTTTTCTTTTTTACACCTCAGTGCCATTTCATGTATGCTGCCTAAAATGTTCTTCCTCATCTTTGTTCAAACAGCAAAACATTCCTCCTTTGATACATGACTTGTATAACCTCGCCACCTCGCCCTTGGCAACGTGGCTTTCTTCTCTGTACCACCACTGTGCCTTCTGAGTGTCTGTCAGCATTTATCATATCGGAATGAAATGACCTGTTTCATCTCTGTCTCCCCTACTGAACCAGGAGGTGAAGGAGGCTGGGGACTCCACCCTAGCCCCACCTCCCACTCAGAGCTTGTTAAGATTTAGAAGGCCCCCGGAGTTTGCCGCATAAGTGAGTGAAATTGTCCTGGGAATAAGACTTTTGCTTTCAATTTTGATACTCACTGTAGTATTACTAACCATTAATATTTTGAGATCCATGTGAGGGCACCTGCCCAAACCACATTTTTAATCTTGATGACTATGACATTTTATACCTTTTCTAGGATTATAAATTAAAAGTAATGCCTTTGTTTAACTTTATGAATCTTCTGTGCACTAAAGCATAACTGGTCTTGGGCCAGCAGATGGCATGGTGGCTTAGGTAATTGGATCCCACACGGCCACTGAGTGGCTCAAGTTCCAGACCCAGGAGCTTGAAAAACTCACATGCAATCATGTATGCCCAAAATCCCAAAAAGGAGAACAGAGGAGAAAGAATTGTGGCATGGCCATCCTCCCTGGGAATGATTTCTTACTTTCCCTCTCTCTGTGTCTGTCTGGCAAGAGTAGAAGCCCTATAGCAAATACTCCCCCCCACAAAAAAACAAACAAACAAACAAACCAAAAATCAGGTCTTTTCACTTGCCATTCCTATATAATAGCTTCCATTTATTGATTCAACACTGTATATACCTTCTCCATCTCCCTTACTGTGGTCCTGTGAAGTGGTGTTACCCTATTTTAAGAACAAGAAACTGATATTCAGAATGTTAAACTGAGGACATTGACCAATAAGTGTTAGATCTGGTGTTTAAGTCTAACTCCCAAGCCCTTTCTTTCTTCTTTTAACAGTCAAGAGCTTTTCATTGTTTTTCTTCTTGACTTCAATTTCCTTTTTACTTCCCCCACAGATTCTTTTCCTAGTATATTTTATTGTAGGTAAATTTTATTACCCTACTGTAACACACTCTTTTTTGAGCTAAAATTTTAAAATTTTTTTCTGCAACTACTACAAAAAAAGACTACAAATGTTTCAGAATTTCTCCTAAATAATAATTTTTAAAAATTAGTAGAAATGCCTGTTTTTTGGAGAAGTTTTGTTTTGTTTTGTTTGTAATTGTAGGGTGCTTGGGCACGCACGTACATGGCCTGGCATGAGTTTAAGCCACCGGGCCTGGGACTCAAACTGCAGTCGACTACATGGGAGTCCAGCAACATAGCCATTACAAC